AGTCTATCCGGTTATCACGATGCCCTTCTCGAGTAACCTATGACCGGGATTATTTAGGATATGTGTTTAAAGGTGAATCGATCTCATTATCGTGATCTCATCACGATCCGATTCCCATTGCATAAATCCAAGGACATCATAATATATATATGCACATATGCAATTGTTATAAAGTGATATACGCCAAAATATAATAAGCAAAAAGATTCTGTATCAAGTCACACGTGCCATCACTCACGTGATTGGCTTGCTGGGCACCTATGACTAGCATAAAAGTTGTAAGAGGGGTATTTACCCTTCTCTTTCAAGAGATTTGCTAGTGGAAGGTGGGAGCCTCATCGAAGAGGGGCCTCGCAAGTGGATGTAGGTCACTTGACCGAACCACTTTAAAAACGGCGTAATCTCTGGTTTGCATTTCATTACTGCTATTTACATTACTGCAAACCCTCTTATTTGCTTTATTTCCTCATTACATTTACTGCATAACTTTGCGAATACACTTTCAAGTTAAGCACTTCCGATTCTGATTTTTATCGTACGAAAGATTTGTCGAAACCAATGTTTTAAGCCGCTACACTAATTCACCCCCCCCCCTCTTAGTGCCGCTCCGATCCTAACAATTAAAACCTACTTCGATCTAGACAATTATTACAAAGCTTGAATCATGTTATCCGGCATATCATTGGTTCATCGATGCTTCGTCCGATTCTTCGACGTATTGTCCTCTCTTGCGGCCTATTGCCCAATCGGCCAGTTAACCTCCGCACCTCCGATTTTCTTAGTGTAATTTCTGCTCTTCTTGGCCCGATGCCCGAACCCATGGCCCGAAGCCTTCTGCCAATACGTCGATCGATCCTTCGGCTCGACGTCCAATCTTCTAACATGTTTTTTTCCGGCCCAACATGATTCTTCCTACTTTAATTGTCTCTTCTAGATCGAAGCTTCCTATATCACTCAAAATCTAGATCAAATCATAAACACTATCAATTAGTTTCATCATCAAAATTCGAGATTCAACAATAGATACTATCGATTTAGTTGGAACTCTATTGAGAAGGTAAGCTATGATTTCTAGGGCGTATCCCCAGAATGATATTGGTAGATCGGCGAAGCTCATCATGGACCGCACTATGTCTAATAGTATACGATTCCTCCTTTTAGATATTCCATTGAGTTTAGGTATATAAAGAAGTGTCCATTGGGATAGAATCCTATGGTCCTTGAGGAACTAGGTGAACTCTGCACTTAAGTAACAATGGTTTCGCTTAGTTTCATATGAAATAACTCAAAATCATGTATTAAAATATTAATCTTTGAAACTTTTAATCTACTAGTGCCTTCGTGTGTAGTTTCAAGAATGTGCCAAATATCAAAAGCCATTTCGCACAAAGAAACCTGATTGAATTCCTTTTTGTCTAAGGTGCAAAATAAGGTATTCATAGCCTTTGCATTTAAAGAAAACGTCTTCTTCTTCAAATCATTCCAATCGTTCATTGGAAAAGAAGACATTTGAAATCTATTTTTGACCATATTCCATAAATTTAAATCAATAGAAAGCAAGAAAACTCTCATTCGAGTTTTCCAATAGGTGTAGTCTGTCCCATTGAACAAGGGAGGACGAATAAGAGAGTGACCCTCTTGAAAGCCGAAAAGTATCATTTCTCTTTGGGTATTAAACCAAATGAGAAAAACATGGCTCTGATATCAAATGTTAGGAACGAGTCAACACTAAGAGAGGGGGAGGTGAATTAGTGCAGTGGTAAAATCACGGATTCAAATCGTTTCGTTTCGATTAAAACTGTTTCCGACGAAAACCATTTCACAAAGATCTTAACTTGAAATACATTTATAAATGTATTGAAAGCAGTAAATAAGTAAAGTGGTTTGCAGTTAAAGTAAATTGCTCAAGACGAAACGCAAACCAGATTTTTATAGTGGTTCAGTCATCGTGACCTACATCCACTTCATCGATTCCTCTTCCATCAAGGCCACTGGCATCCACTATTAGTCTTGTTTCAATGGATGAAGACCAACTACCCTTTTACACCCTCTTCTCCTTTTCACGAGTTTAGGAGACGACCTTTTACAACCCTCTTTTATAAGGTATCCCTCTCACACCTCCCTTAGAACTCTCTCTAAGCTTTGGGAGGAGGGAACTAAGCTTTCTAAGGTTTACAACTTTAGAATTATAGAGTTTTACTCAATATTTCTTACTTATCCATACAGGAATAGCTGGGATATTTATAGGCCCCAAATGGATTCAAATTTAGAGCCCAAAATTCAAACCCCCGAAATTTTAGGGTACAAGTGGTACCACCGCCTGCAGCCTGACACTGGGCAGTACCACCTCCCAAATAGTCTTGAAGACTGAGTCTGGGCAGTACCATTGCCCAGACTAGCGGTTCCATCGCCTGACATAGTCTCGAAGACTGTGCCACAACGATTTCACTTATTTGGTCACTATTTGGGCCTTTCTCTCGGCCCAACACAGCCCAAACTTGACCTAATTATCTCATAATTGGGTTGGCCCAATTCTAATCCTAATTATATGCTAATTATAAATTTTAATATATTTAATAAGCTAAACAAAGTTGTAAGTCTAGGTTTCTTCCGACGAGCTTCTGATGATCCTAGCAAGCTCCTGGACTTCATGACGATCTTCTTAGCAAGTTCTGATGAGCTTCTTTGGCAAGCTTCTGGACTTCTCGATTAATTCCTGCAGAACTTCCGATGAACGTCCGGACTTCCGACGAACTCTCGAACTCCCAACGAAATCACGTTCTTAACTCCGAAACTTCATTTTGCTTTATGCATTGCTATCATAGTTAATCCTGCACATATAAAAACACACTTCGATTTAAACAATTATTACTAAGCATGAATCATGTTGTTCGGTATGTCATTGGTCAATTGACGCTTTATCCGATTCTTTGGTGCATCGTCCTCTCTTATGGCCTATTGTCCAATCGACCAGTTGACCTCCGTAACCCTGATATCCTTGGCGCAATATCCGCTCTTCTTGGCCCGATACCTGAAACTATGGCCCAAAGCCTTCTGTCGATACGTCGATTGATCCTTCGGCGCGACGTTCAATCTTCTAACATGTTTTTCTCCGACCCAACATGATTCTTCTTGCTTTAATTGTCTCTCCCTGATCGAAGCATCCTACATCACTCAAGATCAAATCATAAATACTTATCAATTGGTTTCATCATCAAAATATAAGATTCAATAGCTTTTGGTCCAAGATGCTATGCATCAAGTTTAAATCTTGGTCCAAGATGCTTTTGCCTAAGTTTAACTCTTGTATTATCCCTATTGGTGAGTGATAATTGATCACGGCTTTGCATGTGAGGTATAGCATTAGATGATTCCAATTATCATGATTAGAGTCACAACTTGATGTGATGAGATACTTGAATTATTGAGCTTAAGTCATATCCAAAATGTTTAAGTGCAAGTTATTTTGAGTCTAAGCTAATGGTTCAAAATACTTAATTTCAAGTTAACAATCTTATATGTATTATACTTTTATAAGTTAATTTGACTCTTTTGTCCAATCGTGACAAAGGACTAACATATGGTGTTAGAGAAAAAAAAAAATGGACCTTTTTAACCGCAGCCGATCTATCACTTCAGATCATTTTAATGCAAGAAGTGACTTGAGCTACATCCGCGCAACTTGTTGCACGCAGATGCAAAAAGCAGAGCTTGACTTCCAAGGCATGCAGTTGATTGTCCTCACACAAATATTCTTCCACCCTTCTTCGCACGGCACTTTTAGCCACCTTACGATTTGTCGGTTTACGTTAAAAATATTACACCATCTCAAATTTAAATTTAACTCGAGTTTTACTTCAAGTTTCAACCAATTTAAGTCAGGCACAGGCTTGCAATCTCGATGAGTCGAGTTGGCTTGATCAATGGAGTTATCAACCTGAGGTTCTGCACTAGTTTATACCAAAAAAATGCTAATTGGAGAACAACGCCATTGTGATAGAGTTCCGGCAATACTGGAAATGAGATGTTAAACTTTTATTACTACTGATTGACTTCACACAGAGAATTATGAATTAATGAGTTGCAATTATCTGGGTTCATGTTCATCCGACCCACGAGGTTTCTCCTTGATTGGCGCGTGCAGTGGTTGCTGTCACTGCCACTTTCAATTGCATTCCACAACCGCGTTCTTCTTGCACTGTGCTTTGTCTTATTAGGCTACTTTGGCGTGCAGTCTACTGTAGATCTTTGTAGTTTACCTCCTCCTACATCGGTCTCTCGCATATATAATTAGTAGAAGGCTATACCGTTTTTCCCACCTTGCTCTCGACGCCATGTGTGGTGTTTCTGGCTGCTTAATCTTTCTTATCCTCCTTCTTGGCTTTTCTTCTATGGCCTGTGGCAGGTGCGTCCACCGATCCAAGGCTGGATACTTCTCTTCTCTTTCTGCTCTTTCTGGTATGTTGTATCCCTGTACAATCGTTGTACTTCTTAATTAGACCTTCAGTGTGAGCTCGATCAAATGATTTCTCCTGTGTTTAGCTGGGACTTGTGGATATGGTTCCATGACTTTGGGACTCAGTGGAGGCTATGTCGCTGCTGCAAGCTCCGCTCTTCTCAGAGGTGGCGTTGCCTGTGGAGCATGCTTCCAGGTTAGCTTCAGATACTGAAACTTCTCTCTCTCTCTCTCTCTCTCTCTCTCTCTCTCTCTCTCTCAGGTATGTGAGCTTCTTGTAATTAAGCAGGTGAGGTGTAGGAACACGAGGATCTGTAGAGGAGGAGGGGTCAAAGTGATCCTCACGGACCTTAACGAGAGCAATGACACCGATTTGGTGCTAAGCAGACCGGCTTTTGTGGCCATGGCACGGCACTCGGCGGTCGGAGAGCTGGAGAAACTTGGCACTGTGGATGTAGAATACAAGAGGTACTAAATGGATGTGAGAGTTGGGCATTAGACACACATTGTTTATTGTAACACTTCCTGTGAGCAGGATTCCATGCGAACACACGAAGAACTTATCTATCAAAGTGGAAGAGAAGAGCCGAAGTCCCAATGTTTTGGCCATCAAGTTCCTGTACCAGGGAGGTCAAACTGACATAGGAGCAGTGGATGTTGCACAGGTAGGCCTCTCTCTCTCTCTCTC